GCAGGGGTTTCATTAAAGGCTGGTCACTGGGCAAATTGACCAGCTGCAAGGATGATTTTCCTCCTGCCTGGATTGACCATAGAGGAAAGGTTTTCTTATAGGGAAGTTAAGTTCAAAAAGTTTTACCTGGCTGTGACAACCATTTTCCCTCCTGAAACTCCTGTTAGTGGAGAGGGGACACTTACTACAGGGATCATATGTACTAATGGCATCCGCGATCGACTGTCAATCCATGCCTTCGATCAATACCCTTGATCATCATCTTGATTGGTACTCGATCGACATCCTGATTAATACTCAGTCGACACTCGATTGACACTTGATCAACAGACGGGCAATAGTCGGCCAAGTGTCAACCGACTCATATGCATCGATTTAACATTAGTTGACAGTTGATTGACTGTCGACCAAGATATCGATGGGGTGTCGATCAAGTGTCAACTGAGGTGTCGATGGAGAGTTGATCGGGGGTCGATTGATGGTATCAATCAAGGGTATCGATCCACACTCATCCGCGGATGCCTTTAGTACACATGATCATATTACAGTAGGTACACAGTGTTTCAGCCAGAAAATTTTACTTGAGGGCTAAAGTGGCCCCTGAAGACCATATTTAGGGGCCAATGTTTTAGGAAAGGGGCCAATAAATTGAAAGCTATAGAGAGAAAAAATGCATCAGTGTACCAAGGAAAATAAAGCAGTTTATTAGGATCTATGATAAAATTTAATAGTAAGTGCTTTTTGAAGGGTTTCTACTTAATACAGTTTCTTTTGAATCAGATACTAGTATGAAGGATCCGTGTATTATAAGAGAGCAATCCATAGGCATACATGACATAGTCAGTGATCAAGAGTTTGCAAATTATGCATTATAGGGCGATTTCAAACACGGTCAGCCATTTCGAAGTTTTTTGATGTGATAGAAGCAAAAGGATGGATTGACTTCTTTTCTTGTGTTGAATGTTTTAGAAGCAAAGGTCTTTCAATGTCATTTTATAGAATGGCGTAATGTGTGACAAAATAACGGTTATTGATCGTCAACACTGAGAAATGTAGTTGCCTTTATGGCAACTAAACCAGACTTTTTGCTTGGTTGCCAAAGATGAAATGTTAGTTGCATTCAATTTGGTGACTGTATCGGTTGCAATTTTGAGCCCTGGGATGTCTTTTAAAATACTATGCCTGTACTATGCCTGTATGCCTGCAGCCTTGAAAAAGGAAGGGCAAAATTGGCCCTTTTTTTTCTTTTTCTTGGGGCCATCTCTGATTTTGACACGGGATTCCCGCAATGGCGCGGTCTGGCAGAAACATTGGGTACAGGGTGGTCATTTCTTTTTGATCATATACCTCTGTACATCTGTATATGTAAGTGATGCTAACAATTTTTAAATGTATATAAAACAACAGATAGTTAAACTTAAGAAATGAACTACAATCAGTAAGTCGATGTTCTGGTAGTCCTAGTGGCATTGGTACAGTGTATGTTCAGCTGACAAAGCAGATTTCATAATTTGTTTGTCTAATCAGTCAGACTGATGTCAGTGCCCTGAATGTCACTTTCACTATGGAGGCAGTTATTGGAAGCTGATTTTTATTGAAAGGAGGGTGCCACCAAATCAAATCATTCAATTTCTTATTATGTATGGACAAATGGACATCATATGTAAGGGTTAGGAGAGCTGGGATCAACTTTTCTACTAGTATAATTTTTTATTATTATTAATATTGCTACTCCCCCTGGAAAGGATGATAATCCAACACAAGATGCTGTAAGTACTCTGCCTGCCATCCCCCAACATTTTGTCCATTGTGTGAACAGTTTCCTGTCACACACCAATTTATTTTTTTTGGCTGGGCTGCTTGCTTGAATATCCCTTCTTTTTCTTCTTCAGGACAATCCTTCCATCTCAAGAGATTGTAGTTATGGTATCAGAAATGATTCACACCGCTAGCTTGGTACATGATGATGTTATTGATGGTGCGGATACAAGACGTGGCAAAGTCTCTGTGAACAAAATGTTCGGAGAAAAAATGTCAGTTTTGGCTGGAGACTACATCCTTTCCTGTGCTTCCCAGGCTTTGGCAAAGCTTGGAAACAGTGAAGTGGTAGAGTTATTAGCCAAAGTTGTAGATGACCTAGTAAAAGGTGAATTTTAAGTAAATAACAAATAAGAATAAGTTGCATCGTTGAT